TGGTAACAGGTGCACCTTGGGAAGGCAGTTGTCTTTCTTCGCTTGGAGGTGCAGTGATGGCTTGAACATCCTTGGCAGGCAGTGAACTAACTTTCTCCTCTTTTGCTTCAGCTGAAACAGTAGCTTGGGTGTCTTTTGCAGGTGGAACAATATCTGGAGTTCGATGTACGACATCCATTTTCTCTGCTGGTGCCTCTGGTTTTGGACTTTCTTTCTGCTTTTTCTCTAATACGTCTGTTTTCTGTGTGGGAATAATATCTTTCGTTTTAGTCTCAGAGACATCTTTTTGCTCAGCGGCAGGTGCGGATACTTTGCTGGGTGATGCCTGAGGTTTCATCGGTGGAGGCTGTACTGATTCAGCTGCTGTGAGGGCTCGTTGCATCTGGCAAGTCAGACACAACCACTCCTTCATCTACAAGGAAAAGCATATTATTTTGAGTAAGTGTGTCTTTAACAACTAAATTTTTAAAATAAAAGCATAAATCGCCACAGTTAAGAAAACATAACGTATATATTATACATAACATACATTTTAATAACTACATTTTTGGTTTATTTACCTCCGTTTCATTTGGTGTTGGGTTAAATCCACACTGGTTACAGACAGTTTTCTTGCATTCAGTACAGACATTGTAGTTAGGCAGATCCTTAGACCCTATGTTGAGCCCAGCCTTACAAAGTGGACAGGTGGACGGGCCTTGTTTGACGGTGGTTTGGGAGGCTTCACCTGTTTTTGGAGGTTCTGATGGAGCCTTGTCAACTTTGGCTGAGACTAATGGTGGTGTCTGGATCAGCTGGGGTTGTTCAGCCTTGGTTTTCTCCTGGGTAGCAGGGGATTTGATCTCTTTTGCAGGGGATAACTTGGGAGAAACTGGTGGAGTCTTAGGCTGGTCCTGAACAGCTGAGGTAATCAAAGTGGATGCAGAACTGAAAATAGAAGAACCAAAGCCAAACATTTTCCCTGTCACAGACTCTGCCTGCTTTTCAGCATCAGGTTGAGATTTACCACTGCCAAATCCAAGGAAGCCTCCCGATTCTTTTCGTGGTGGTGGAGTGGCAGTACTCAGCTTACGTTCAGGCTGCCTGATTTGGTCTGGTGATTTGTTAGGAGTTGATGTTTTCTGGGGCTTCTGTTGTATTTTCTGAGAAGAAACCGGGGTGGCCTGTTTGTGAACCTCTGGCTTGACATTAGTCTCAGATGTAGCAGGCTGTGCCGTTACAGATAGTTTCCTCTGAGGTGACTGCTGTGCTGAATACACCTTCTTTTCAGGTTCAGCTGGGCTGGTGACATCTTTCTTTTGGGGTTTTGCAGGTGTCTGAGCATTCACTGAAATTACTGATGGAGGCTCTGTTACTCCTAGAGCCCGCTGCATCTGGCAGGTAAGACATAACCACTCCTTTGCCTGAAAGAAAAATTAAATAAAATGAAAAGTTATATACACACACACACACATACTGTTAGGTGATCTATTTACAAATACTGATTGTTTATTAAACTAGTTATTTTTATTTTAGTTTACTTTTCCAATGCTGTAATACATCTAGTAATACGTAGTATTTTTTCATTATTTAATATTCCTAAATCCTGGATGAATATTCCTTGAAATCCTGAAATCTAGGTCAACAAGAGACATTTCAAAAGTATAAGTCTACTGATATTAGTTAAATACAAAGTGTCAATAATAACATGTTTTGTTTTCTTCTTAGTCTTACCCCAGTTCCATCTGGCATAGGGTTAAATCCACACTGGTTGCACACAGTGTTTTTGCATTCAGTACAAGTATTGTAGTTGGGCAGATCCTTGGAACCAGTGTTAAGTTTGACCTTACAGAGTGGGCAGGTAGACTGATCTGGTTTGACAGCTGCTTGGGAAGCTGCTGCCTTTGGAGATTCTAATGGCACCCGTCTTGATGCTGGTGTTTTGGTCTGCAGGGATGGCTCAGTTAACTTCTGCTGCTCCAGCTTCTGGGAAGCAGGGGGCTTCATCTCTTCTGCTTTTGACTGGATTGATGGTGGACCCTTTATCTGCTCAGATTTCGTCTCCTGTTCTGGTTTCTTTACAGTGGAAGATTTGGTTTCCCTTGCAGGAGACATCTTAGGTGAAACTGGTGGAGTCGTTTTTGGCTGGTCCCGAACTGCTGAGGTTATCAAAGTAGATGCAGAACTGAAGATTGAAGAACTAAAGCCTAACATTTTTCCACTCACTGACTCTGCAGACTTTGCAGCTTCAGGTTGAGGCTTAGGACCAGCAAAGCCAAAGAAGCCTCCTGACTCTTGCTGTGTTGCTGCTGTGGCATTAGTTTGCTTACGACCAGGTTGGGTTGCCTGATCTGGGACTTTTTCAGGAGCTGTTTTCGCTTTTTCTTCCGATGTTTTACGTTCAGGTGCTGGGCTAGCCTGTTTCACAGATGCTGTTGATTGTTTTCTTTGTGGGGAGACTGCTTCTGAGGTTTGCTTTTGTACAGCTGTGTCTGGACTGTCCTTTGTTTGAGGAGTAGTCAGTTTGGAAGATTCCTTGGACTGGACTGTAGCAGGTAAAGAAACTTTATTGGGTGACATTTGTGACTTTAGTGATGGAGGTCCAGTAAGCTCAGAAGCTCCTACTGCTCTTTTCATCTGACAATTAAGACACAGCCACTCTTTTACCTAAAATATAATAGACACTTGGTTAAGTGATGCTTTATAACTACAGATTATATCATCAAATGTATACATTATGCATCAAAACAAATTCATCAAATCTCTACTTAAATATAGTTTAATACCACATCTACAAATAAATTACTTTAAAAAGCAACTTTTAATGATTGAATTCAAAAGGCCGGTACCAAAGATTAAAGTCACCTACACAGTATCTGGCCCAAAGTGAAATAGGATTATTATATTACCTCTGCTCCTGAGATAGAGCATTGGATAATGGCTTGAAAAATGTTTTAACTTCTCTTTATAAGACATCATCACTATATCTTTTAATCCTATTAGCCATTTATATTAAATGTTATAAGAATTATCATCTGATTTATTAATTATGACAAAAGGCATATTTTCAGCTCACAGTGGCATTGACTTTTGATAACTAAATTCTGAGTACACTACAGTGTTTGGCTAAAAAAAAATTTTTTTAAATCACATGGTGCGTTTGAGATGTTTTCAAGTCTGAGATGCACAGACATGGACACAGATGACCACAAAAACATGCCTGAGACTATAACTGCTGCCAGCATGGTGGTATTTGATTGTTTTGACACTACAGGCAATGTGGAAAACAGACAATATTTTTTAAATCTTGTATTCATGTACTTACCTCTCCTACTGGCATGGGATTAAATCCACATTGGTTGCAGACAATGTTCTTGCACTCAGTGCAGGTGTTATAGTTAGGTGGGTCCTTGGAGCCTATGTTAAGCTCAGCCTTACACAGTGGACAGGTTGTCTGGCCTGCATTAGGAGCCATATGAGACACTTTTGCTACTTGTGGTAGAGCTTTATCATCTTTGCTTTGGTGGGATTCTTCTGGTTTCTTCTTTTGTTCTGGCTTCTGAGGAAGAGTTTTAGGCTCCCTTGCCGGTGACATCTTGGGAGAAACTGTTGGTGTACTTTTTGGAGAACTCTTGGTTGCAGCAGACATCTTCGGCGAGACTTGTGCTGGCGCAGACATTTTTCGAGAGCTTGGTGGTGTGGTCCGTGATTCGTCTTGAACTGCAGATGATATCAAAGTGGATGCTGAGCTGAAAATGGAAGATCCAAAGCCAAACATCTTTCCACTGATGGATTCTGTTGTTTTTGAAGTATCAGTTAAGATTTTACCACCCAAACCTAGTGGGTTTCCAGACTCCTCTTGTGTGACTGTGGTGACCTTACTCTGTTTTAATCCCGGTTGACTTCCCTGGTCAGTTGGTTTCTCAGGGCCTGATGCAACTGAAATATCAAGAGGCTTTTTCTCACCAGGAGTTGGGCTAGGATGTCCTTCACTTTTGGGTCCTTTAGCCTCCTTAGATGAAGGTGCTACTGCTGTGGACCGTGTCTTCTGAGGAGAGCCTAGTGTGGCTGTGTCCTTCTTTTGAAGTATGTAAGCCCCTGGAGTCTCCATCTTAGGAGCTGCATCTGATTTTATTTCCTTTTTAGTTTCCACTTGATCAGTAACTATTGCTTTCTGATGTACAGCAGATGGAGAAATTTTTTTATCTCCATGGAGGTGTTTCACAGGAGGCCCTGTGGGTTCAGCTGCACTAAGAGCTCTCTGCATCTGACAGTTCAGACATAACCATTCCTTTACCTGCAAAAACAAAGTATATTTTATTAAAATATGAAACATTTAAAATAATATTAACATCTAAATTAATGTTGTAATAACAATTCAATTACAGGTCTATATATGTAATTTATGCCGTGCATTTTATTGAAGTTTTATTAAAGTAAAATGAGTAATTATTGCTTCTCCTACCTCTGACACATTTGGCATTGGATTGAATCCACACTGGTTACACACAGTGTTCTTGCATTCAGTGCATTTGCTGTAGTTTGGCGGTTCCTTTGAGCCAAAGTTGAGTTTCATCTTACAGAGTGGACAGGTAGATTGGCCTGCCTTTGGAAGAGCTGGTGAAGCTGGCTCTTTCTCTACTTTGGCTTGTATCAGGGGAGAGGTCTTGGCTTCTTGAACTTGCACAGCCTTCTTCTCCTGCTCCTGCTTCTGAACAAATGGTGATTCACTCGCCTTTGAGACAGGAAGCTTAGGAGAAACTGGTGGTGTCTTTTTGGATTCATCTTGGACAGCTGAGTTTATTAAAGTCGAAGCCGAACTGAAGATGGAGGTACCAAAGCCAAACATTTTTCCACCCCGTGATTCACCAGGCTTTGTAGAATCTGAGGGAGGTGTGGAACGGCCAAATCCAAAGACAGCTCCAGACTCCTCTTGTGTAGTGGATGTAATACTACTCTTTTTGATTTCAGTTGGATTTCTCTGTTCAGGTGGTTTTTGAGGTCCTGTCTTTTGGCTCTGTGGTGGCTTTTCTGGTTGCTCTGCTGGTTTTTTCATCTGACAGTTGAGGCATAACCACACCTTCCCCTATATTAAAGCAAGGAAAAATTAATTAAAATATAGTCAGGGTAGTTTTAATGCAATAGAATATTTTACTATTAAAAGACTGTAATAAGTTCATTGACAAACATTTATATATGTAATATGTATAGGTGATTGTTCAAGTATTTTCTTACCTCCTTAACATTTGGCATAGGATCAAATCCACATTGGTTGCAGACAGTGTTTTTGCACTCAGTACAGGTGTTGTAGTTGGGAGGGTCTTTAGAACCCATATTGAGTTCCAGTTTACAGATAGGACAAGTTGACTGGCCTGTCTTAGAAACGACAGGCAATGCAGGTGCTGTCTTGGATGCCTCTTCAGGAGGTTTGCCTGCTTTTGTCTGTACTGATGGTGAACCTTTGTCTTTTTGTGGTTGCTCTGATGTTTTCTCCTGTACCAGTTTCTTGACAGTGGGAGACTTGGAGTCATGTGCAGAAGACATCTTAGGAGACACTGGTGGTGTCTTTTTGGATTCATCTTGGACAGCTGAGTTTATTAAAGTCGATGCAGAACTGAAGATGGAGGTACCAAAGCCAAACATTTTTCCACCTAGTGATTCAGGGGTCTTTGCAGAATCAGGTTGAGTTGTAGAACTGCCAAAGCCAAAGAACGATCCAGATTCCCCTTGTGTCGATGCTGTACTACCCCTTTTAGATCCTGGTTGATTTATCTGATCTGTTGGCTTCTGAGGACCTGTCTTCAAGCTTTGCTGTGCATTTTTCTGACCAGAAGCTGGACTGGCCTGCCTATGACTTTCAGATCCTTTCACATATTCAGTCTTTGCCAGCTGTTCTCCTGGCTTTTGCACTTTCCGCTGAGGTGAGCTTGATGGAGAGGGCTCCTTTAATTTAGATTCAGCAGATGTCACATTCTCTTTCTTTTGAAGTTTATCCACTGGGGGAGTTTCCTTCTTTAGGGCACTGTCTTGTGCAGTGACTTTACTCGGTGAAGCCTGTATTTTCATCATGGGAGTTCCTGGAGGTTCTGATGCTCCCAGTGCTCTCTGCATCTGACAGTTGAGACATAGCCACTCCTTCACCTACAATGGAGCAACAATATTTAAAAATTCAATCAGTCATGCTGCGGAATACATTTTAATGTTAAGACATTTTAAAGTGACAACAATAAAAAAGACATAATGTCACAGTTATTGTTCAAATAAATTGTTATATTCGACACAATTCTTCTTAACTTACCTCCTTAACATTTGGCATAGGATTAAATCCACACTGGTTGCAGACAGTGTTTTTGCACTCAGTACAAGTATTATAGTTGGGAGGATCTTTAGAGCCCACATTAAGTTCCAGTTTACAGAGAGAGCAGGTAGACTGGCCTGCCTTGGAAACAACTGGTGGAGCTGATGCTTTCTTTGGTTGCTCTGATGATGGCTTGTCTGCTTTTGGCTGTACTGGTGGTGAGCCCTTGGCTTTCTGTAGTTCCTCTGTTTTTTTGGCCTCTTCCAGCTTCTTGACTGGAAGAGGAGATTTCGAAGTGGGGGGTTTAGAATCCTTTGCAGCAGACATCTTGGGAGAAACAGGTGGTGTACTTTTAGGTTCATCTTGAACAGCTGTGGTAATCAAAGTAGATGCAGAGTTGAAAATGGAGGAACCAAAACCAAACATTTTCCCTGTCACTGAATCTGCAGGCTTTGTAGCATCAGGCTGAGTTTTAGCACCACCAAAACCAAAGAGGCCTCCGGACTCTTGCTGTGCAGCTTTAGTGGTGCTTTCCTGCTTTCCTACAGTTTGATTCGTCTGCTGCGGTTGTGTCTTCTTGTTCTCCTGAGATGCTGTCTGACCAGGAGCTGGGCTGACTGCCTTTTGACTGTCTGGTTCTTTAGTCTTTGCTGGCTGTGGTGCTGATGTTGGTACTTTTCTCTGGGGAGAGCCTGGTGCATTAGTCTTCTGTGGTGTAGGCTGTGTGGGAGTAGTCTTTTTGAAAGATTTTCCCAAAGATGTATCAATTTGAGGTTCAATTCCTCCAGCAGCCCGTTTCACCTGGCAGTTTAGACATAGCCACTCCTTCCCCTTAAAAGAACAGCATAAAATACATTATAAATGTATTAATCCTAAAAACACAAAAACAGTCTTATGGAAAAAAAACCCACAAAAAGAGAAAAGAACCATAGAAATACAAATGCACAAAAAATGTTATAACTACAGTAAGCAAGAACTGTGGTGGTCCAAAAATCAGCTTAAGATTGGGATAGTACTTTATGGTGCTATTTGTAGCACCAAATATTTACATGAGACAATGTAATGTATTTTAACTGCATCCAAATAAATTTGGTTTTCCAACTAAAAATAGTGCAGCAAAACAAAAGCTTAAAGAAGGATTAATCGCCAATAACTATTTGTTTAACTTACAAATTAAAAAACTGAGAGCAATAATGATAGTATTATTTTAGTTTAAGGCAGTATCACAACACAGTAGGTACTTTGTCATTTACCCTCAAAGGCTTTACTTTGAGCAGTGATGTATTTTGAAAACACCTTTAAAAGTAAATGTCTTTGTCCAAAATCCAAGAACAGGAACTTGCACAGTATGAATGTGAAAAAGCAACAACACTGTTCAAGCATTACTGAGCATTTTTATTTCTTGTTTCTGTTATATAACCATATAAGAGTGGTAACATTATTGAAAGAAATAAAATGCCACTCCCTTTTACTTGAAAAGAGATCTAGGTCTAATGGAAAAGACAGCTGTTTGCAGGAGTGTGAGCCTTCCCCTGCTCAGCATGATTAAAGGATCTGACAAATAGCATTCTCAGTGTGACTCTTAGTCAAAGTATCAGACGTTCAACAGGACTGCACATGAAAACAAAAACAAACAAAAACAAAATAGCTTTCTCGGGTAACTTCTGTGTTCATAAAACTTTGTGAAAAACGCTCAAATGTAACAAAATTTTGTATATCATCTAACATGTAATGGTTCTTTGATAATAGCTCTCCAATCTATGAAATAACATAAAAAAGGATCTTAACAGCTTCAACAAGCTTAATTCTTAAGCATGCCTCAGAAGTCCAAGTAAAAGACACTTCTGAGAAATCTGTAAAATATTACAGCAAACAAATGTACTGACCCTTTAAAACTCCAAAATTAAAAAGATATACATTTTATTTTAATTTTCCTAAGTTACTTCAGTAAACTGCACCTCTTACCTCATTAACGTTTGGCATGGGGTTAAAACCACATTGATTGCAGACAACAGTTTTGCATTCAGTGCATGTGTTGTAGTTGGGAGGATCCTTCGAGCCCATGTTAAGCACTATTTTACAGAGAGGACAAGTGGATTGGCTTGTAGTCAGAGCAGTGTGGGAAGTTGCTGCTGTCTTTGGAGTGACTGGCAGGGATTTTTCTGCTTTTGCCTGTCCAGCTGGATGAACCTTTGCTTGTTGAGGTTGTTCTTGTTTCTTGTCTTGTTCTGACTTTTGGATAGAAGGCGGTTTGGTCTCCTTGGAAGATTGCATTTTAGGAGAAACCGGTGGAGTTGTTTTAGCCTCATCTTGAACAGCAGAAGCTATCAAATTAGATGCAGAACTAAAAATAGACGAACCAAAGCCAAACATCTTTCCAGTCACTGAATCTTCTGTCTTTGCAGTTTCAGTTTTAGTACCTCCAAAGCCAAATAAACCTCCTGACTGCTGCTGGGGTGCTGAGGTGGCACTGCTTTGCTTGCGTTCAGTCTGATTAGTTTGGTGTGGCTTAGGAGATCCTGATGCTCTCTGGGCCTCAGGTGTCATTTTCTGAACAGGTGCTGGACTGCCTTTTTTTTGAGCCTCCGGTCCTTTAGCAGCTTCTGCCTTTTCTGGCACTTTTGTTGATTTAGACTGGATTTTCTGCGGTGAACCTGGTGCTGATATTTCCTTTTTGACAGGCTCAGCAGCTGATGGTGTCTGTTTTTGGGGACCAGACATTTTGTTAGGTGTGGGGTTTTTCATGGGAGGTCCTGGCAGTTCAGAAGATCCTTGAGCTCTCTGTATTTGGCAAGTAAGACAAAGCCACTCGTGTGCCTGTACAAAAAAAACAAAGACAAATAAATTTATTAAAAGATATGTGCAGATAGATGCACATAATGTAATAAGGTGAAAGAAGAAAAAAAGTACATTTCCCCAAATTATTCAAGGGACATCACAACTGAGTTTTGAAACTTTTGAAAATAAAAAAAATGTAAAAACTAGTGATTCAATAATGGTACCAGATTGATTTAGCTCTACCAGTGCTAAACCCGTGTTAATTCAATACTAATTAAACACAATCTAACAGCAGTTTTCAAATACATGACATAAAATGTACAATACTTGCAATAGTACAATATTTCATCTTGTAAGAACTTTGGGGTCACCAAGTAGCTTGCCCACTACTAGCACGGTAAGGGTTCCGTGTCCTTTGGTAAGACATTGAACCCAAAATTGTAAAACCCCTTGTGTGTGAATGTGAAAAGACATTGCAAAGTACTTGAACAATATACTTTGTTCAAAGTATGTGCTAATGTGCTAAAACACATTAAGTGAAATATTTCAAGTCTTTGTTGCTTTAATTGTTAGATAAAAGATAGCAATTTTGATTATAGCTTATATCTCAGGAAAATCAGAAATCTCTATCTCAGATTATAAGAATATCAATCAAAAAAGGATTTACAACACAAAATATCAAACCTCTGAAAAATATGTTCATTTATACACTCAATACTTGATTGGAGCTCCTTGAAAACATACTATTGGATCAAAATGGACTACATAAAGAAATGTATAATGTTTATGTTTTGTTCTATAAGGACTGCACTGCTTCAGCCAAATCCACATACTACTCTGGTTTAATCAGTTCTAATGAAGGTAGCTCAAGGTCTCTCTTTTCAATGTTCAGTAAAATTACAAAACCTCCAGACATATTACCCTCCCATATGTATTCTGCTGACTTTTGTAATTCTCTTATGTCTTTGTTCACCCATCCTCATCCTTCTTGATCTTAGTGCGGCGTTTGATACCATTTCTCACAATATCCTCCTGAACCGGCTAGCATCCATTGGCATTAGTCATACGGCCCTTGCCTGGTTCACCTCCTATCTCTCAGACAGCACTCAGTTTATCCAATTTAAATTCCATTCTTCAAGTCTCCATCCTGTTTCTGATGGTGTGCCCCAGGGTTCAGTATTAGGGCCTCTTTTATTCATTATTTACATGCTCCCTCTTGGTCATATATTCCGAAAATATCATATAAATTTTCACTGTTATGCCGATGACACCCAGCTCTATATTTCTTCTAAACCCAATTCATCCCTCCCACCTACCTCCCTCTCAAACTGTCTTATCGAGATTAGATCCTGGTTCTCCTCCAATTTTCTTAAACTAAACAGTAATAAAACAGACGTTTTACTTGTTGGTACAGCCTCTATCTTATCCAAATGCCACAGTTTTTCCATTGACATTGAAAGTTCTCCCACCCTTTCCTCCCCTCAGGTTAAGAGTTTGGGTGTCATACTTGATAATACTCTTTCATTCCAGTCCCACATTAATTACATAACCTGGTCTGCATATTTCCACTTACGCCCCTTCCTTACTCCCCATGCTGCTGCCATCCTTGTCCATAGTCTTATTACGTCCCGCATTGATTACTGCAATTCCCTCTTATTTGGTCTCCCTAAAAGGTCCCTTCATAAACTCCAACTTCTTCAAAATTCCACAGCTCGGGTCATAACGCGTACTCCTTCAAGAGCTCATATTAGGCCAGTTCTTCAGCAGCTTCACTGGTTGCCCATAGAAGTCAGGATAAACTTTAAAATCTTACTTCTCACGTTCAAATGTATCCATAAATCTGCTCCTTCCTATTTGTGTGACCTGCTCCATATCACCACTGTTTCCCGCCCTCTCCGATCCTCATCTGCTATTCATCTTACTGTTCCGTCCGCACGTCTTACCACTATGGGGAACAGAGCCTTCAGTCGCTCTGCTCCTCGACTCTGGAACTCTCTTCCTCCAACCATAAGAAATATAAACTCTCTTCCCACATTTAAGTCACAGCTCAAAACACATCTGTTCAAACTGGCTTATTCGCTTTAGTGCTGATTTTATCTGTTGTCAAGTTCTGCTTTGCAATTTTAACTTATTTTATGACTATTACTTCTTTTATTAATTTTGTTCTTTTGTAAGGTGATCTTGGGTTTTTGAAAGGCGCCCTCAAATAAAATGTATTATTATTATTATTATTATTATTATTATTATTATTGTTAATATGCTGTGTTGTGACATACAGCAGACCAGCTTGCTAAGGTGTTCTTGAAGATCAAGTTGCTTTAACAGCAACCTTCATCTTGTATACATTCTCAGGTCAGGTGTTTCTCATCTTCCTCTTGACAATACCCTACAGATTTTTAATGAGGTTCAGGTCAGGTGAGGTGGCTGACCAATCAAGGACAGTGACAAGATAGTCAGCGAATTATTTGTTAGTAGTTTTGGCACTGTGTGCATGAGCTAAATCCTGCTGAAAATGGAAATATCTTTCTCCTTAGCCAAGATAAGACGATTCTGACATTGTCTCTGAGTATTGATTGTTTGGTATGATTGATAATAGAAATTAGATAGTTGTAGACCCTTTCCTGAAGCTGTTTGTGTGTAGTGGTTCTTGAAGTTAAGTGCTGTGCAAAACTCTAGAGCGAGCCCTCATTTCTCTTTATTTTATTTCCTTCTTGTAATTTTAAAGTAGTAGAGCAAGAGTTCCTCAAGCTTTGTGAAGGTCTTTCAAGGATTTTCTTTGGATATTAGATATTGACTAAATTTTCCCATTTTCAATACAGTCCTTGTACCTAGCAATTATGAATGGAATGCTTTTGCTTGTTTGTTAAGCCACTTAACACTGGCCTATGACTCAATCAAGCATAAAAAGGCACCTAACTCAATGAATGAACTAGTGTCATATACATACACATAACAGACAAGTTAGCCAAGAACCAATTTTAAATTATATATTTAGGCACGTTTGTTACCAGCAGCACATCGCAAAATTATATAATTTCTTCTGAAATTAAATCAATGAAAAGTCCAAAAATAACACAGTTTCAAAGGCATAAAATAGTTAATACAAGTTTTAGATACTTTATTTATAACTAGCTATAGTTATAAATTGCTATAGTTATAAATTGTTATAGATATAGATTCCCAAAGAGCTACTAGCTGAAAACTCTCCATTTCTTAACATGTCGAGACGCTTTTCTTTCCAAGCTCCATCAATAAGATATGAGTAGTATCTGACAGTCATGTTCTTGAGAAATAGGAAAAAAATCAAGAAAACACCCAACACTGGTCCTTAAGTTGATCCATGTACTATTCAGTGAATCTTGAAATGGTCTCAGTAGAAGGGTAGCTGTAAATGAGTTAATCTTAAGGAAGGAAAACAGGGAAGTATGCCAAACTACTCCAGAAAATCAGTGGCAAAACCAAATTTTAGTTCAAATCATCATCAGTACATACAAAGGATGTCAGAAGAGAAGTACAACAGTGAGTACTGTGTCTACAGGTATCTGTAGAACACGCTGGACACTCTGTCATGTTTTGGGGCTGCATTTCAGCCTCTGGCACATAGAAATCTACCATCAGATTTTCCACCAAGCAATACCAACTCGAAAATGGCTGATTGGCAACAGCTTCATTTTCAGCATGAAAATGATATCAAATATACTGCCTAAAGCATACCTGGATAGAAAAACACAGTGGAAGACTGTTAGTCATAGATTGGTCACTTGAGAATCTAGCATTTAACATTACTGAAACAGTGTGTGATCATCTTGGGATAAAATGGAATAAAAGGCAACCAATATCCAAAGAAGAGGCTGAACGTCCTTCAGAAAGACTGGAAAACTATTGCTGAAGACTACTTAAAGAAATTACAAGAAAACCTGCCTAATAGATTTCAAGCTGTGTTGGTGAATAAAGGTGGTCATACCAAAGACCGACTTCCATGCTTGTCAGAATTATACAAACACGATTTTTGCATTCTACATTGCATTTCCATGTAGTTTTGCACCAGCTTCAGTAAACAGCTGAACATATCTCACATTTTCATAGCAAAATATAAAGAAATGAGGGGTGGCTCAAGATTTGTTCACAGTATTGTACTAACATGTTACTTCATTCTATGCAAAGCTCTTCAGAGTTCTTCAATCGATTGGTCTTAACAGTCCTCTCAAGGCTGCACTTATACATGTTGCTTGTGCACCTCTTCCTACCACACTTTTTCCTTCCCGTCAAATTTCCATGAATATTCTATGATACAGCACTCTGCAAACAGGCAGCCGTTTCAGCAATGATCTTCTGTGGCTTACTCTCCTTGTAGAGGGTGTCGAAGATCACCACCTGAACAGCAGTCAAGTCAGCAGTCTTCCCCATGACTGAGGTTGCGTGCACTGAATTAGACTGAGGCATACACGGTATTTATACTGTTTGAGTAGAAGTTTTAATCTCAAACTGAAATATTTGAATAATGTGAGACACTGATTTTTGTATTTTTGTGAGCTATGAGCTGTGATTGTCAAAATGAAAACAAAAAGGCTTGAAATATTTAAATGTGCATTAAATATTACCTTTTTTAATTAAATGACAAAATGCATTTTTTATGATATTCTGAACTTTTAAGATGCATTGATAGATGCAAATGAATAACCATTCAACTCCTGGCCATTTGCCCTCATTGTCTCATGATATCAATTAAAACTACACTGCATTAATATTTTTAATTACATATGTATTAATTCTGTAAGTGTAGTGTATAGCAAAAGTATCCAACCAAAGAAAACTGCTTCAAATTTGTAGTATCAAATAAAAGAACATTTGCATTGAAGCAAAGTTACGAGAAAGCATAAAATAGATCACATAAAGACTAAATTAAACCACTACTTACATTAGAGTCTGGAGGGCTGAAGCCACACAAGCTGCACACATCCATTTTACACTGTGTACAGGTTTTATGGTTAGCTGGTTCTTTTGTAAGTTGTGTTGTTTTACACACTGGGCAAAGCTTTGCTACTGCTGTTGACTGAGATCTTGCTTTGGCTGTTCCAGGTGATGAAGACCCTGCTTGTGTCATGCCAGTTGGACCAGGTCCCTTACTCCCTTGCTTATCAGAGGACTGCTGTTGGGATGTGGCCCTGATGCCTTTCTGCTCTGGTCCTGCCTTAGACGAGTCATGCTGTTGCTGCCCAATTTTTGGTGATGCCTGCTGTTGTTTTCCAACCTCAGACCCAACCTTTGTTGACCCTTGTGCACCAGTCTTAGTGGGGTTTTGTTGCTGCATCCTTGTCTGTTGTTGAGCTCCAGGTTTAGGAGAACTTTGCTGTATAGGTTGGTTTTTGGGGGGTTCTCCTTTAGGCTGGACTTCAGGTTGAGCCCCTGTCTTTGAAGTTGTTTGTTGCCCAGCAGGTTTGTTTGAGGGGCCAGTTTGTCCATTTCCATGTAGCTGTGGTGAACCTTGCTTGGGAGGTTGTTGGGTCTTTTGCATAGGGGGAGATTGGCCTGGTTTATGGGGATGCGGTTGCTGTTGATGGTCTTTTCCAGAGCCTGCTGTCGGCTTCTGTTCTCCAGATTGCTTTTGCCCCTGCTGGGGAGGTGATTTTTTATCCCCCTCACCATCATCTCCAAACAAACCAAACTTATTTACAGCAGAGGACACGGCATTGAGGGGGTTTGCCCCACTAAGGAATTTGGAGGAGAACATTGTTGGGTCTTCCTCGTCCTCCCCCTCTTCCTCCTTGCAGGAGCTGGAATCTACAGGACTGTCAGAGTCAGAGCAGGAACTGTCTCCACTTTGACCCGGCTCTCCCACAGATGCCTGAGGGGGGGCTGGACCGGTGGAGAGGGCATCTACAGCCCCACTCCTGCTGCTGCTGCTGCTACTGCTGCTGCTCCCTGGGCTCTCCTCTGGCTCAGCATCTACGTCAGACTTCCTACATACATGACAGACAAAGAGAGGATGTGTGAGGTGACAGAAACAAGGGAGGGATAATGAAAGAGAGTAACATTTGCGGACCACAAGTATGTAGAAGAAGGGATAACGTAGTTTCACCCATCCACTCAACATTAACATAAAGTTGGCTTAATCTAATAACTCAACTTTGAAGACCATCAATGCATTACACAATTTGTACTTAACTCGATTTAGACAAGTGTATCCTTATCTGAACCTATTAACTGCATGGTTTTCAATAGAGAAATTTTCATATAAATATTCTGTAAGAATCTGTGTATTAGACACACCAGTGTTTGATAAATTATATTTATTTCCATTCTGGTTAGAACTATTATTATTTGTCATTAAAGCCATTAAAGATTCATTCTCTTTGATTTACTCCACACCGACTGTTGCTTTCAGTACCATGGACGGGACCAGAACCGCTCTGCTGCTTGCAGCCTATACAAATCAGAGAGATCCTTGTCAGCCAGTTAAAGCCTACGATACAGCCTAATGTGCAATACAGGAGGGGGATGTTGCTCTCAATTGACCGGGCTACTACAAATCCTATTCAAATGACTATTGAAGGTGGACTCGCGGGTCCAGAACACCATTTTTTTCACGGTGACAGAATTCGATTTTCATTATCCGAATGGCACCGATTGTCACGGAGTGAAAAATGTCACGCAAGACGTGTTTTACAGCAGCCAGACGAGTAAACACAGGAAATCTAGCGCTTTCACTGGAGAAACTGCAGGCACATCCGGGTAGCGGCCCAGCAAATAATGCATGGGAAGTAAATACTGATAGTTTCTTGGACAAAAGGAACATCAAGGACAATACAAGTCTGTGATGACCAATTATCTTTCTAAATAGGCAATTACAGCTGCGTTCGGCGTTTACTACGCAATGCTCACTTGCAGCTCAGGTTCACTCATACGCGGTGGATCTGACGTATCCACGGCGCTTTACCGATATGAAAAGGCATCATGCATAACCACCAACCATTGTAAACCGGACAACATCTTAGTCCGCAGAGGGTACGAGGTGATAACAGCCCAAGCCCACGGGTGAGCGAAAAAATGGAAAACACATTCTCACCTTTTTCTTGTGTCCTTGACCAGGTATCTTAACGAATATTTTTTATACTTAATGTGTAGTATACTGTTCTAGATTATTGTAAACCAGCGTAAAACTGTGACGAAACCCAGTAACAGCTCTGTCATCCCTGTGATTTCCCGAAATACCATCTGTTATCCACTCTGCGCCCCCCGCTCACCTCCTCCCATCCTGCATGCAACCAAGCATCCTTCACCCTCCACGGTCACAATGTCAAACACTGAAGCGCAGAATTCAAGAGAAACCGAAGAGAAACAGTACCTTCATCAACAGCTGATCTGTCTCCCCATCCTGCCCAGCCTTCCTGAGATATCCCCTATCCGTGTCTGTCTGATCGCCGGGGGATAGAGAGCACAGGGCAGCGGATAGAGAGCGATCAGCATCCACTCCGCCTCCCACTTTTGCGCGCATGCGCCACATCTGACAGGTGATCACAATATATATCACGCACGGAAATTGAAATTAAAGGGGACAAGCGATTTATTTCCCCTGGAGTCACGTGTGATCAGACCTGAAAATTTACCCTTATGCTGAACGTCTTCTCAGTGGCCGCTGACAGATTTGATATGTCATTGCTGTGATCGTGAGTTGCAGTATAGCTGGATAATAATAATAATAATAAAAAAAGAGCAGCACTGGATAATTTCACATCACTTTAAATGTTATACCCGATTAATTGCATTTTCTAGACAAATGACGCTCCCCTGTCACGTTCACTTATTTCTCTTGTTCCTGAAAGCACAGTGGATTTAAACCAACACTGAGCACAAGAAAGGCAAATAATGCCTCATCTGCTTTATGTATGTGCTAGGTCCTCTTTTGGATTTGCAGTGTGAGCATGCCCGAGCACCATTAAGAAAGTGAGCAAGCTATGACCCTCTGTTGTCTGAAAGACGGAATGAGAGCGCTTTCCCCGGCTTATATATTGTAAAGTTTAGCTTTAGGCTCTGTCTTAGAAGAAATTAGTTCATCTGACCTGCCTCTAAGTTTTCTTCTTATAGTGCTCTCTGTCAATTTAGTTAAGGTAAATGTTCCAACCAGCCTTGGTTCCGGATCTCTTCCACAGTAATAATAAGCTAGATATAATCCACACAGCCTCCATTATAGAGTATCAGTTCATTTAGTTTCATTAACAAATAAACATGCTTAGTGAAGCAAAATGCATGAGCAACTCTATGCACAAGCAGCTCTTGTTGTTTTATTTAGCTCATACAAAAGAAATTCACACCAACTGCCACTGTATATCAGTTCTTCCATGGTTCAGACCTGGACACCTGTCAAGATTTTGACTGCATAATCTCGTTTTTTCCCCTTGCACTAACTTTCTTATCTCTGTCACAACTGAAAGAGCAGATGTGAGGAGAAGAGACAATTTGGACAATCATATCTGGTCCTGCTTTGGAAAACTTTTCCAGTTCAAGGAGGTTGCACATCATGATCACAGCTTTTGGCAGCTCTGCAGAATTTATAATTATATTCGAAACAGATAACCATGTAAATGCAAAAATGTGTATACTACTAAAATATTCAAATATGTAGTTTTCTTCCTGGTGAACTGATGATATGGAATATATCACAAAGTTTAGCAAAACTTTTGCTCTATTATTTATCACTTCTGTAGCATCCTGCTACCATAAAAGAGGAAATTCACCCTCAGCGATTACTCACCACCACAGTTCATCATTTTTGAGCCCTAATATAGCTCCACCATGGCATGCATGTTTACTCAGTCGTACAGTCAATAATTTCCTACCCAGTGTCTGGTAAGCCTGAGGAAGCTCTGTGGGAAGGATAGAGAGCAAGTGTTGTGTGGGCGTGTGGAAGAGTTACGTCATGTGTGATGTGTGAGCAGCAGAATCGCTATGATCTCTCTTTGGAAAGCGCCAAATCTGGCTTCACTGCAGACATGTACACATACACAAACAGATACGCACACAGGAAACATGTAGCACAATCTCCATCTGGGGATATAGGCTGTAACTTTTCCGTGTCCTCCTACCTGGGCTGAAAATCCATTAAGTAATCTCAAAACTGCTTATCTCTACCTCATCCTCACAATCTGCCGCTTCCTTCTGTTTCCTCTTTTTGTTTTTGTAAAGTTTTAGAACAGAAAAAGAGTAGAGCTAAAATTATGTTAATGCACACTAATACCTTTATGTGCCATTAGGTAATGTCTTAGGTCATTGTTGTATCGTGAGCTTTAGGTTTCATATTTTCTTCTGACAATGATTACGAGATAAATAATATGATTAGCTTTGATATTTAAAGCACATTACAGTAAACAGGCTGTCTATAATTTAGTGTTTATCATTAAACAGTTTACACTCTTCCTCACAACAGATTTGTTTGTCAGTCAATATTATGTAAGACAGCAGGAAATCACCAGATGTGGGACGAGCATGTTCTTTTCTTTTGATCCCTCCCTACTTGTCAGTTTAAATACAATAACCAAAATCTCCACTGTCACCATCCTTTTTTTCCCCACATACTCTTTGATAAGGGCAGACCAGACTTTGCTCTCACACAACTAAGACATCGCAGATTTTTAACTGCATCACTCACATGTTTACCAGCTGACCTCAAAGTGAATTAGAGTCTGTCACGTGTATCCAGGACCGAAACAAAAACCAAGTTGCTGATGGGAAGCTTTGAAAGCTCACTTCTTTTCAGTGGCTTCACATGTATAGAAAGTACAACCCCAATTACTAACAAGTTGGGACATAAAATTGAAATACAAAACACAATGCAATGATTTGCAGATCTCATAAACCTATGTTTTTTTTCGCAGCAGAATGTAGAAAGCATATCTAATGTTTAAGCTGAGAAAATGTAACATTTCAAGAAAAAATAAGGTGACTTTAATGATGATATGTTGATGACAACACAGCTTAAAAAAGTTGAAAATGCATGTTTACCACTGCAACATCTATCTTAACAACAATCCTGGGAAACATCTGGGAACTGAGGAGACCAATTCCAGGACTGTCCCATTCTTGTCTGATGTAGAATCCTAGTCCTCAACAGTCCTGGGTCTTTTTAAAAAAAAAATCAAATAGGTGAACGGTCTAGACTGTAGGCAGATTGGTTCAGCACCGAGACTCTTCTAGCACAAACCACACTGTTACAATAGTTGGCAGTAAGCAGTTTACCATTGTCTTGTTGAAATACACAAGGCTTTCACTGAAAAAAGATTCTGCCTGCATGGGAGCACATGTTGATTTAAAACCTGTATATACCTTTCAGCTTTGCTGCTGCCTTTCCAGCTATGCAAGCTGCCGATTTAATAGGCATTAAGTCACTCCCACACCATCAGAGACGCAGGCTTTTGAATGAGCACTGATAACAAGTCAGATGGTCCCTCTCCTCTTTAGTGCAAAGGATGCAACATCCATGTTTTCCAAAATGAAAATTAGTCTGACCAAAGAAACATTTTCCACTGTTTTCAATCTTAAATGAACTTTTGACCAGAAAACACAGCCGTGTTTCTGAATCTTGTTCACATATTGGTTCTTCTTTGCATGATAGAGCTTTAACCTTTGTTTGTGGATGCCATGGTGAACTGTGTTCACAAACACAGAAGTGTTCTTAGGCCCAAGCCCGTTTCCATGACAGAATCATGCCTGGTTTTAATGCAGCGCTGCCAAAGATCACAGGCATTCAATACCGATTTCTCCAATTTGTCATTTGATGATATGATGTACTGTAAATGATGAGAAGACAATTTTATGTTGAGGAACATTATCCTGAAATTGTTCCACAATGTAGCTTTTTGTCCATTTTTACAAACCTCTTATGCGGTTTTTATATCCAGCCACGTTACTGACCTGTAGCCGATTAACCTATTTGGGATGTTTTGTTTTGTTTTTTTGCTAAATGTTCCTCCAGGTGTTTTTTTGTTTTTGTTTTTTTTTTTGGTACCACTTACTTTTCCAGATTTTAGTTTTCCCATGTTAATGCCATCACATTCAAAATGAGGTGATAGTTTTTTGTGAAATATGAAGATTTCGTAGTTTAAACATTTGATATGTTTTCTATTTTGTATTGTGAATAAAATATGTTTTATATGGCAGTTTGAACTTCAGACCTGCTTGCACGGGGACAGAAGAGCTTCTTGCTACTTTGCTTATCTGTTACTAGCCCAGTAATAAAAACCATAAATGTGTCTTTTAGAGGAATTTTAAATAAGAAAATAAACATGATGGCGTGACTAAGAAGAGTTGACCAAACACATCTGTAGTTCTCTCTCATGTAGTAACGCTCTTGTATTCTACACTTGTATTCTTCTCTCCACAGTTGATACCAACACCCACACACCCGTCCCTATTTCTCTCTCACTGTTTCTCTATCAGGCTGTGTACACAAACAAACTCAAACAGATTTGAGAGGCAGTACTTATCTCTCTCTCATTTTAATTAAGCAGACACTGTGGAGCATTATGCTGCCTAGCAGTTTCTAACTCCCCTAGCTGCAATTCTCACATATGAGACTGCTACTTCCGCAACAAGAACAACAGCCAAACATTCACTTTTTTTGATAATGTTGGAATAAGTTTACAAAAACACACACCTCTGACGTTGACCCTTGAGGAATTCAAAGCAGTTTTTTCCCGGCATGGTTTTCTCGGGAGCAGAGCCGGAGCAAGGTGGAGTGGTAACCTGCATCGAGGTGTATTGCTGTCCTCTGTAGGTCTCTAGGTCTCTGTGCCTGAGTATCTGGCAGGGTCACAATGTAATCTATACAGTAACCTGATCACACACACTTTGCCAGCATCATTAAATTTACATATCTGCCCCTGGGAGGGGAAAATATGGACTTGCAATAATACTCTCTGTACAGAACCGAAACACATGTGGAAAGAGCAAAAATCACTAATATAATATTAACAGCAGATGGAGGTGTTTACAGGTTCTGTATTTCAGGAATCTAGTTCTATGTGTAATTCGATCTAATGCAGGCTGTTATTCATTGCAACATGTTATTAATTGCCAGAATATAGATCCTTACATCCCTGAAGGGACTGGCTCAACAGTGGACAGGAAAAATACACAAAAATTGCACACTCTGTCATGAGTTGTTTTTCCTGTTGAATGCATTGTTTACAGTTCGACTCAAGTACAAACTGTGTCACACATAAAATATGTTCCAAACAATGCAACTGACTGACCATTAACTTGATTGTGTTCGAATGTACATGAGACACAGGTAGAGTTACCAAGCACTGGCAGTCTGATGTGTGTCACTTGGGAGAATGGTTTGTGCTTTGTGCCTTCCTCACTCAGCATTGTGCTAGAACACTGAGCAAGCCTCTAAAGCCACCCAGTCCTTTTTCCTGATGAGTGACCACTGCTATCTCCCGTA